TCTTTCTAATGGAAGTATGTAGATATAGGTTTATACAAGTAGTTGTATGTGTAGTAAAATCAATTTTTCGAGTAACTTTAACCTATGAAGTATTTTGGAGCCTTCAAAATATGTTAAGAAAAAAGTGTTACACCCTCTTTATCTAATACATGCCCCCCAGTGGCACAGCGGTATGTCTGTGGACTTACAACGCTAGAAACCGGGTTTCGATACCAGTGGTGGGCAGAGCACAGATAGCCCTTGTGTAGCTTTGTGCATAATTTAAAAAACAAAAACAAACATCTAATACATAAGCCTATAAACACTGTACATCCAGTAAACAAGCCTAACTGTACATCACATAATGAAAATAAGAAATAAAAATTACAAACGCATTCTGCGCGACTCATGAGCCAAATGTCAAAGCTAGAGACCTCTAGGTACAAGAATAGCTATCCCTAATTTAGTACTGTTGGCCAGAGAGTAACCGGTGCCCATCACCCAACACCTAATAACTCCCACATCGTTGAGTCTGCTCAGCGGTATATGGCAACTCTAACGGTTTATTAACATGCACCATGCAGCGTATCGTCTCTAAACATCGTACGATACGACGTTATTAAATTAAATTTACCCATTTAAAGCTGCTTTTTTTTTGTCCTTTAAAAACTTCGTGTTTTCCTCAAATCCTGTGCACACACAAGAAGACAGGACCATTCAGAATGTGAAGCTCCTATATTTAGTTAGTTATTACGTTCGGAGGCATATAAACCATTAATTTGCTACCAGAAGTTTAATTTAACCAAAAGTTTATTTTAAGTCCACCGAATAATTGAGGAGGTTAGAATCTATAAATATCTTTAAGAATTTGGAGATCTAGCTAATTAGCATTTTTCTTTAGCCTGGGAATTAACTTAAATTAAGAAACTACCTGAGCCTACCTTGAATTTATTTATCTACCGGCAACATCCTTCTCCATTTGTTTTATCTTAGTTACCAATAGCGACGAGTTTAAATCATGAGTTTCTTCAAGGTTAAAATGCTTGAAAAAAGGAGCTAGAAATACTAGAAAACTAGCCTTTATCAAAGAGAAAACGTAGGTAATGAATCCACTCAGACAGGAAATGCTGAAGCTTTATAAAATTATGTTCAATTCCTAACCCAAAATAAGGATCAATTCCATATTTAACAATGTGTTGAAGTTTCTCTTGTTCGATTTAAATTTCAGTAGATCCAACCAACACAATTCTAAGATACAAATCTTTATATCAAAAATTTAAAAGTTTTAATAAATGGTTAGTCTCCAGTTTCTTTTCTTGTCTTTTTTTCAAATTAAACACATTTTGAATCATCTGATTTTAAGCTCTCTAACTAGTTCGATGGGCCCGGCATGGCCAGGTGGTTAGGGCACTCGACTCGCAGTCTGAGGGTCGCGGGTTCGAATCCCCGTCACACCAAACATGCTCGCCCTTTCAGCCGTGGGGGCGTTATAATGTGACGATCAATCCCACTATTCGTTGGTAAAGGAGTAGCCCAAGAGTTGGCGGTCGGTGGTGATGACTAGCTGTCTTACACTACTAAATTAGGGACGGCTAGCGCAGATAGCCCTCGTGTAGCTTTGCGCGAAATTCAAAACAAACAAACTAGTTCGATAAAACTAATGCAAGTTTGTTTATTTATCTATTGCCACATTGTTTTTTTTTCTGAAAGATTGTCTACAAAACAAATAACAATTCTAAATGTAACACAATTGTTCTATATTATTAGCTCATTTACGGCTTCGAAATGAGTAATTTTATTTAAACATGTTTAGTAATTTTCTTTTTTAATCATTTTATTGTATTTAATCATCTCTCTCTTAAATTTTTAATGTTTATTTTTTATCTTTAAAACTTAACTCATAAATTACAATTATTTTAAATAAAATGCTTAAACATATATCTAGCTTCAATATTATTCTAATCAAAATTATTACGAGTTTTTCAAACACAGAACATTTATCAATGTTAATATATGAATTTATTTATTATTTTACTGTTTAGACTATTCCTCAACTTAAGAGTGATAATTGTATATCTTTAAGGTTTTTTCATATTTTTGTAATAAAATAGAGCATGTTGGAAATAAATATTGATTAATATTTTCCATCAAACGAAATATTCGGTGCTTAGATATATTTATTTAACAATTTACTTTGCTTGATTGGTAGGTTCCCTAGCATAAAATATTAAAGTTAAATGTGTCATTAAGTATTTTGAGCGTATATTAATCTTTAATAGCTCACCTCGTGCAATACTTTTAGTCCTTAATTTCTCTCGAAAGTACTTACGAGTAATGTCACTGTAAATGGTTAGATAACTCACCAACGATCCTAGACTTGAGACGTTATTTGCTCCTTGTATCCTTGAAAAGCTCGAAATAATTAAGTATTAGTTATCTGTGTTATAGAGAATATAGTTATGGCTGGTTATAAGAAGTTTTATTTCTAATTTCTAGAAATGTAAGAAACTGCAATGATGGAAGGAATGTTTTGTTTTTTGACAGATTTTGATATTCTTATTTTGCACTCTCCACTATTTGTCCTGTATAATGTTCAGCTCATGTTGTACGTTGATAAATGTTTTAATGAGTTCTTAAATTTCATACTAACAATAGCCTTGTCGTTTAGGTAAAGCATTAACATAACTATAAAAACAGCAAAGAAAATTGTCATTGTGTTTCTGGAAACCTATTTTGGGCATGTTAAGAGTATGCTTTGTCTTATTCCGTTCATACTTATCATTATTGCTCCAGTGACTCAGCGATAAATCTAAAGGCTTATAAAGCTAAAAACCGAGTTTCGATACCCGTGGTGGGCACAACACACATAGCACATTGTATAGATTTGCGCTTAACAACAAACGAACCGAATTGATTATTATTATTGATAATTTAATTTTTGATAATATTTTCGTTTAAGTGAAAACTGCAGCCAATGTATTCGATCAGAAAATAAAGCAATTAGAGATTGCTGAATTAAGAGATTTTCATACGTTAATTTCCACAGTGATTATTTTCATACGTTAATTTTCACAGTGATTATTTTCATACGTTAATTTCCACAGTGATTATTTCCATACGTTAATTTCCACAGTGATTATTTTCACAGGTAAAATATTTCCTTTTCTTTGCAATTTTCAATATACATATGGTAATCTTTTTAAGCGCCTCCTGGATGCACGTTGTAACCGCCGCTTTATTCTCTTATTGGTATTTTGTAGTTATAGTAATAATCTTGTTGAAACTGAAATTATAAGAATCTTTTACATTTTACTCCAAAGTAAACACCATTTAATTCTTATAATATATCTGGTAGTATTTCCTTTATTCGTTTGGTAAATTTATTACCATACAGCAAATATATCTGGTTTTCTCGATTGTGAGGAAAAGTTAAAACTGAATAAACGTTTCGCGGTATGTTTGTTTGTAGTTATGTACAAAGCTACTCAATGGGCTAACTGTGCTCTGCCCACCACGCGTGTCGAAACCCGGTTTCTAGCGTTGTAAGTCCACAGATATACCGCTGTGCCACTGAGGGGGGGGGGGACAATAATGTTAGACAAAAGAAAATATTTTCAAACTTTAAATATAAGTATAATTTAGTTTACTTACAAACGCGAAAAATATTTTCCTCGTCTCCTTTTTTTCTCTCTTTCAGCTGTAGATATAGGAGCAATATCAGAAAACGGTTTTAATGATCCTTATGTCAAAGTTACTTTGATGCCGGAAGTTGATACGAAAACGAGACAAACGGAGATTCAGCGTAACTCTGCTAACCCAGTGTTCGACGAAATTTTCAAATTTCCGGTTTCATTTGAAGACCTCTCGGAGAAAACCTTGCTACTTCAAGTCTTCGATTATGACAGATTCTCTAGAAATGACATTACTGGAGACGTGAGAGTGAAGATGTGTGATCTCGATGTGACAACAGAAGTGGAGGTTTGGGGTGAAATATCCAAAACTGATAAGGTAAAAACCGAAATTTTTGAATATAGAAGCTTTTAGAAATTGAACTGCAAATTGGAACAATAAAGCAATAAATGTATCAGAATTTCAAATTTTAAAATTTTTATAACGAGCTGTGAAAAACAAACAATTTTCAGTTCTTACATGTAAATAAATATATATATACATGATTTTATTTTTAGACTAAAACATTTAAATTTAGGCCAACATATAGCTAGTCTACAAATATGACGAAATTCCTTTTTTAGCATGAAGTAGACTTGAAAAAGCAATTTCAGTTGAGCAGAAGTATAGTATATATATATATATACACACATTATGGGTCAATAAGTGGAGAACCCGCTCCATGCTCGCAATTTTCAATCTGTCCCACTACAAATACATAAAAATTACTCTCAGGAAAAGAACTCAAGAGTTTCCAGGGCCCTAAGACGAACCCTGGACCACAGCCGTAATGAATGCGCGCATTCCTTTGCTTCGCTCGGTCAAATATATATCTTGGCTCCCTCACTTTTAATTTGTCTCTTACATCTCTGTTAGTATCATTTACAAAAATTAAGCCAATAACATTAGATACTACAAAACTGTTTTTAGACGAATTTCATAAAAATCAGACAAACACAATATCTAAAATAGAACATTATTTGGCGTTTTAGAATAAGTTTGATTTGATTCAGCAAGCCTGAAATAGCTCGTTCGATGTGAAGTGAAATAAATACTTGAAATTAAAATCTAAAACAAGTAAATAATTGTATAAGCGGGTAAAGAAATGTATCGGGAGTATGAAAGAAGAGAAAATTATTATAAATTAGAAAAAAAAATTAAATAACCAGTTAGTCCGCTGAATGATAATGAATAATTTTTTTTGACAGTATGTCGCGTGTTATCCAAACACCTAAAACATTTTAGGTTATTAGTGTTGAGTAAGGGACTATAATTCTAAACCAGTTTATGCTTGTAGTGGAATAATTATTGTGTTTAATACTTTGCACAAGTTTGGAACATCAGCTTATAAAACCGAGATTCTAAACACTTAGATATTAAAAAGAAATGATGCTATGAATTATAAGTATGCTATTTTTTTAAGATATGTGTTTCTCAAAAGGCAGAAACAGTTCTAAATATCACGATTATGGTAATAGTTTTCGGAACTGTTTTTGAAATCTTTCAATAGATTGGTTCTGTTAAACAGAATCCTCACAGAAAGACTTAGGAAGTTATATTAATTTTAATGTTTTGATGTAAAGAGAAATTGTTTTTGCTTGAAAAGACAAAGAGAAGAAAAACAAGTTAAACGTGTTTCTTCTTTTTCACAAAAGATGGCGCTAGTTATCACGACTAAGCACAAAGAGTAGAAGTACGCCAAGTTTCTAAATATGTATATCAAACTTAAGAGAAGATGTGTCAAGCTTGATTTACGCTAGCATTCTACTTTCACATTTTCAAACAAAAATTAAGAGTTAATGTTTAAATGTTTCTAAATATCATACATACATTAAATCTAAGTTTCTTTAATCTTTCCTTTTGCAAGATATCGTGTGACAGACCCGAAATTCTGTTTTCTCTCAGCTACTTGCCCTCTGCTGGTCGATTAACAGTGGTTATTCTAAAAGCCTCAAATTTAACAGCCTCATGTTCAAAAGAGTTTCCAGGTAAGTGAAGGCATGGTATTTTTATGATATCCTTTTACTACATGTGATAAAATCAGTTTCTATTGTGACGTTGAACAAAGTACGATAATTAAAACTTCGCCTGGAATCAGCGCAGTTCAGTGGAAGACCTTTTCCACGAGCGATACGATGTTTGTATTAGTTATCCGACATAAGTTCGACAGTGATTTCTGCTTGTTACTTGCCCATTATGACATTGAGAAGAAAATAGCAAAGAAAAGTTACTTTAGCAACGATATTACGCAAATATCAGAGCAACTTCAAAAGACTTTGCACCTAAATCCGAAAGATATGATACACATGGTCTAGATGTGTATTTCTGCAAATAATGGAGTAACGTTTGATATATATATAAATTTACAATTGTTTTTGTCTAGACGTAACAAAAATGCAAAACATATATTTTATGGCGAGAGTCTACACTCGTAAAAACATACTATTAAATATGAATTTGCAACTTTGTTATCTGCTACAATATGAAGGACTTAAATATTGCTGCCCAGCGGTTAGTATGATTAACTGTCACCATAGCAACACTATATTCCTGGTATGATAGTAAAGTAACACGTGTTTTATAATCTTTGTAAGGCCATCGTTACCCTATAGATATCTTTTATTTCCACTGAGCGGAAATATGAAGGACTTAAATATTGCTGCCCAGCGGTTAGTATGATTAACTGTCACCATAGCAACACTATATTCCTGGTATGATAGTAAAGTAACACGTGTTTTATAATCTTTGTAAGGCCATCAGTTACCTTTTATTTCCACTGAGCGGAAATAATGGGATTAAGTACTTTGAGGAACTTCACTTTAATAGTTATTTTATGAAAGTAATTTGTGAAGGAAACATGCTACTGTATATGAATTGATAACATTGTATTTTCCTAAAATATGACAGAAATGATCATACCCTCTAAAGTGAAGATCTACATCTGTAGTTTCAAAAGATCATTTACTCTCATGCATATGATTATAGTAATATTTCTTTCTAGAATATATTAACAATTAGATAGATCTTTTGTAAAGAGCATCCTCCTCCAACTTTGCTCCTCCTATTGTTTAAAGGCTGAAGCCCATTTCGGCCTCTGGGTTTGTTATATTTCCTAATCACCATTTTTAGAAGGGCTAGACATCCATTGAGGTTACTACAAACATGTGTGTATCTTTCTGTTCTAGGTGTAATCTATACTTACAGCTGGATCAGTGGTAAGATCTCTACTGCATTGCTGTGTAGCACGTAAATAACATAGCCAGAGTCACTTTTGAAGAATGCGCCCTCTGTACCTCAACCGCTTGTACTATCAATAGTACCAGTTTCATAGACAATTTTTCAAAGTTTCCATAGACCTTCTACCGAAACATGAAAGTTTGTCTTAATCTGTCTCACGGAGGAATATTCATCATATTCCCTAATTTTCACCTTGACAGTGAAAAGTTACCCCAATTATTTGCTTTCAAACAGTAAAAGTACGCAGAAAAGTTTGGATTTTTGAATCTATTTCATCCTTTAGTGGCATTATGTATGGCATACGAAATTATATGTTTATGAATTATCTAAATACCAGGATAAGTGTTTAAAACTTAATTTTTAATCGCTGGGTAATATTCACTCTTAAACGGTAAACTTTTCCTAACCCTAAAAAAAAGAAAATATTCATTCAGGTATTTTCTTTCAATACAGATTCGTATGTGAAGGTGACTTTTGTGTATGGAGAAAGAAAGAAGAAGAAAAAAACGGCTACGAAGCGAGCAGCAAACAACCCAGTATGGAATGAAGCTTTAAGTTTTGACGTATCGGAAGAAGGACTGAAACATTGCCGCCTTGTGGTTAGCGTAATTAACTGTCACCATAGCAACACGGCTCCTCTCGGAACCTGCATTCTTGGTATGAATGAACGTGGCAGAGAAGTAGCGCACTGGCAAGATGTGCTTCGTAATCCTCGTAAGGCTATCGCCATGTGGCATGGATTACATGTCTGATAAGTAAAGTTCGTGTGTGTGAATTTTTAAAACCTATCTGGATTGAGGAAGAGTTTAGTATAATGGAATATAGTTGAGCATTTAAAGATTCCAGAAAAGCAAGTTTGGAATTAAACTTATTGTCTTTTATATTAGGGAAGAGGAATATTATAACATAAACTTGTTAGTTAGGCTTAATTATTGATACTGAAAAACTCCAATATTGTAATGCACTAATATCAAACTTCCAGTCAGAGCAAGCTACCTACTTAAGTCACAAATAAACATGATGCCGGAAAGGAGTATAGCTAATTAAATATGCTTTTACTACGTTCTTACTTATAAAGATTAAAATACATTGTTTCGTCAGTTGATACCGGAAAGGAGTATAGCTAATTAAATATGCTTTTACTACGTTCTTACTTATAAAGATTAAAATACATTGTTTCGTCAATTGAGTAGCCGTTCCATTAACTATTTTCGGTCATAAACCCAATAATACCTTAAGATGTTCGACTGGCTTAGGAGATTTAGGCTAGTTCTAAATCCGTGTGCTAAATTAACAATGCAGTACAATCTCTATAACAAAAGTATAATACTATTAAAATAAAAATGATAAAACTAGCTATATTAAACATTCTAACGAATTACTTTAGTGAAAGTAACATTAAACAGAAAATAAAGTATACCTTACTTGAGGAAAACACAAACATTAGTTGTTAGCTTCAAATACTGTCGTATATGTAATGTTCACATAATGGTTAGGATTAGTTAGTCAAATACACTTTTTAGCAGTCAATAATAAATCAATATTGTTTTTAATGTCGCACGGGCTTTACAGCTGCGTCATTTCATATATCAATTTCTTGTTTCAGTCTGGAGTATTCGGTGTTTCTCATAAAGTTTCTAACAATAATTTACATTACTGGTAAATATGTAACATTTCAAATTATTATTTATAATTTAGGTAGCGTCTACTGTTATGATGCCATTTTGTTCTTTAATGTTTTAAAAAGCATCTAAACAAAGTTGTGGTAGGAATATGTGTAAAAACGTGCAGTCTGCATTTGTTCTTTGCAAAGATGCTTACGCAGTATCACGTTTTACTTGTGATCCAATCCATTAATCAACCTAAGTTCAGTCGCTCCTAGTATCAGAACTACCGTCAAACATAGTTTTAATTGAGATTCATATAATAAGTATTATGAGATTCCAGAAACCGGGCAATCGTTCCTAAAATCAGAACTACCGCCAAACATAGTTTTAATTGAGATTCATATAATAAGTATTATGAGATTCCAGAAACCTAGTTCCTAAAATCAGATAAAGGTATAGTTATGAATTAAAACCAATATTTTACACATCCAAAACAGATTTATGTGAGATATTAGTTCCAACAAATTATGCTATTACAAATTAATTGAATATGGTTTCCTTCAGCTATTTGTATAGCATATCCATCTTTTCACATTTGCTGTTAAGGTTATTATTTTTTCAACATTAGTTATTTTCGTTAATTTGTACACCAATGTTCTATAAAAGCATGAAATGCTAATGTATTTCTCTGGTACGTGACACAGGAATTAAGTTGGAGTTGTTAGTTTTACCCAATATCTTCTGATACTTAACACAGGAGTTAGTTGGGAGTTGTTATTTTATCTGGATATTCTGATAATTGACACAAGAATTAGATTGGAATTGCTATTTTACTCAATATTCTCTGATACTTGCCAGAGGAATTACTTTGGAGTTGTTAGCTTTACTCAATATTCACTAATACTTGTCACAGGAGTTAGGTTTGAGTTGTTATTTTACTCAGTCTTCTCTGATACTTAACTTAACACAAGAATTAGTTGGGAGTTGTTAGTTTTACCCAGTATTCTCTGATACTTGACACAGGAACTGGTGTACAGTTGTTTGCTTTACCTAGCATATTCTGATACTTGACGCAGGAATTAAGTTGGAATTGTTAGTTTTACCTAGTATTCTCTGATAATTGACACAGGAATTAGTTTGAAATTGTTAGTTTTCTACCTAGTATTCTCTATTATTTGACACAGGAATTAAGAGTGGAGTTGTTAGTTTTACCTAGTATTCTCTGATAATTGACACAGGAATTAGTTTGAAATTGTTAGCTTTCTACCTAATATTCTCTGTTATTTGACACAGGAATTAAGAGTGGAGTTGTTAGCTTTACCCAATATTATCTGTTAATTGACACAGGAATTAGTTTGAAATTGTTAGTTTTCTACCCAGTATTCTCTGTTACTTGACACAGGAATTAAGAGTGGAGTTGTTAGCTTTACCTAATATTATCTGACACTTAACAGAGAAATTAGTTTAGAATTGTTAGTTTTACTCAATAGATCACTATAGTTTTACAATATGGAAGAACCATATCTTAACTATCATAATCGGTTGACTGTTGACTTTCTTGTGCTTTTTTGAACTCGTACAATATCATTAATCAATTCAAAATACGAAATAGGACGAGTGGCAATTTTATAAAGATTTTAATCAATAGAAACATAATTTTGAATGAAACTCCCGTTTCATATGATCAAATTTCTTTATATATAGAGTAATAATAATATTTTTCACAGTGCATAGATGGCGCATATTTATTATATTTTGTTTCCTAAGAATTTCAAAACAAAACAGTGTAGTTTCAAAACTGTATGAGTTTATAATACTATTATATATTTCTGTTAATACAAATTAAACTCTTTCTGGAAAATTATCAACATGATATTAAATTTCACCCTAAACTATAACGAAACGATAGACAAAAATCAAATATCCTAATGTCCTTTTAAAATGTTGTCACTAGTTTCCAGAAGAATTTATTTTTCTTGCATGATTTGTGAATAGTCTCCTGATATTAAATTAATATTATTTGGATTTATCTAGAGTACTAGTCTGAGCCATACTCAACACAATATTCCAAATCGACACCACGTACGGTGTAAGTGCATTTTACCCTAGCGATAAAGATAAATTTGTTTTTTAATTCAGTGCGGGAATGAGATAAGCTTCTTTCTAATGAAGGATTAAAATAAAATTGGATATACCTTTACAAATACGAATTTGATAATGCAGTATTGATTGTAACGGTCATATTTATTCATTTAATTAAGTCATAATTATACATTTCATATGGTAGAAATGTATTATAAATGTTTTGTAGCTGCTATCAAATCCTTAATGTGAATAAGTTTTAGTATTACTTTAAAATTATTTCAAATGTTTGACATGTCATAACGACATGAGAAAAAGCAAAGTATGTGATTTTTGAAACGAAATTAATTAAGATTACATTGTTACAAATAAGTTTGCAATAGAAGTCAAACGTCTGTTTTATCGTCCACTTTGTAAGCCTAGCTTTCGTGCAATAAATATGAAAGATTTCAAAGCAATTTTGAATCTTCTGAATATATATTACACAAGAAAAATATTAATAAAATGTATTTTACAGAGTTCAGTGGTTCGTGTGTGACAGTTTTTGTTTACACTCAAATTTATATACAGTTGTTGAAAAGTCGTTTTACGACACCAAGTTGAGGTTTATGAACCACATTTTCACACCTGGTGTTACAAATTTTTGAATAATAAATGTTTACGTTTAGAATTACCGATAAAATGGAATTTTTTAACTCTTCAATTGCATTCAAGTTTGAAAAAAAACAACGTAAAACAAACGTTGTACTGACTTAATTTCTAAGAAATTGGTCGACAAAATCGATTTTTTTTTCTCTCATCAAAGATGGGACACACTTTTGCACGCTCATTCCAAATTTGTTTTCTATATTCTTCTAGCACATCTAGTTATCGAAATATGACTGGTGACAATTTTAGCACAATTTAGGTAATAATCACACATTAGGCTAGTTAACGTTATAGCTTTATTCATTTTTCAGTATAATTCCCATAAACGTTATACACACCATACACTTGGTTAAACTTATACAGCACACACTTATGTAAAAAGAAATGTACAACAACTTAGATTATAATTAAGACAACAACCTTTCAAATTTGATCGGTCTCATCATGCAATCTTGACGTGTTAGAGAAAACACCAAAAACAGATTTGGAATCAGCTATCTAGCCCACCTATAATTATATCTGATGAAAATGACTTCTTAGCCAATGTTTTAGGAAAAATAACAATTTTATATTAGAAAATTCAAGCATACTATAGTTCTAAATAACAAGTTAGTTTTGTATTTTAATTCCTAATCAACAGTTTCAAAATAAAACTTTCCCTATTTCTAAAATGATATCAACTATAGATCTATAACAGGTGGATATGTAGGATATTTTGTTCTCTTAGTCACGAAGAGTTAAACTAACAGAATTAAAATCAGAGCTGAAAACTCTATATTACACGTATCGTGTAAAGGGTGGTTTAAGCTGTTTTATTGTGTTAGAGTAAACTGTGCAATTCTTCCCTAAGTTCAGTTTTAATCTATTGAATGACATTCGCCATCTCTAGCCTAACAAATGAAAAACATTTGCTAGTGTACGACGTCTGATCTGGAGAAACATAACACCTTAAGGGATAACAGGGGTGATATTACGTCATAATTTATTGGAAAATGTTTTACATCATTCTTTACTTATATTATACGGTTTTGTGGTAAGAAAAGCGTAAAAACTAATTTTATCAGTTTTACTGTGACCTAATATCACATTTATTACTCAATGAAGTATTGTGCTTAGGCTTTAAACACTATTAAACTTAAAAGTACAATAAACGTCTACTATAAATAGCATTTCAATTTCAATTTTTTATTTTATAACACAACTGACCTTATGAGCTCTGGTCAAATAATGGTTCATTGAAAGTTATAATAGTGTGGGTTCATCGTACTTCATTACAACACTTTTTTGGCCCCATGCTGCTATTTAAGATACTTTTTCTATAGTCTGAGAGTTGTGATTATTCGACATTGCATTTTTTGAAAGGACGGCGAGGTCAGTCTTAGACCCCACATTTTGAGAACTTATCACATACCCTTCACACTAGGTTTAAACAGGTTAAAGGCACAAAAGTCTATTGGAAATGCGTTAGGGATCTCGATGCATATGTTATCAAATGTGATTGCTGAGATTTTCATCTTTTTCTTTAATAAAAACAGCTGTTGATTTTAAGGTGTAGCTAGAAGAATGTAAATGTTTGGGTTGTCATCGGTTTCAAATCCTTGCTATTTATCTTTAAAGCGGGGAGATACTCAGTTTCATTGTAATGAGAATGTTGTTCATGAGTAGTTTGGGGTGTGGCATTTGGAAACCGTTACTGTCTTAGTGTGCAAGATTTTCTGCTTCCTGTAAATATTCATGAACTCATCTTTCTTCAGATTTCTGTATACCTCGTGTCTGTTTTGTTTAACAATCTCGCTATCCTTCCTCGGAAAAGACTGTAGCAAAGCATCCAACCATAAACATTACTAGTCGGAATTACAGTGTCAAGTGGTTGGAGGTTTGCTAGGAATCAAATGAATAGGTGCTAAACATACTGAAGCTAAGGCATTTATCTATTGCAGTAAGCCATATAAATACAGCCACATTTTCATACATGGAATTTAATTTGTGCATATTTCAGTGATAAAAGTATGGTATAGAGAGAAATGAGCAACGTGGGCGTCCCATGTTCTTGATCATACCGAATGATACACATTATGAGAAGCCTTTGGGATTTTGTTTCTGGTAGAAGTGGTACTAATTTCGGCCTAATAGAGGATAACGTCCTTGCCCATCATTCTAAACTGGTCAACACGTTAAATCTACATAATGCCTTAGCTGGCGGAGCATGGCATTTAAAAATTTGCATTGTAACGTGGCCATCCTGATAAGCTCTAGTATTGAGCGAAAGGACTAGTCGGCAGCAGCATACAACAAATAAGGCTCAGTTGAAATAAAATTGTACAGTTTTTCTGGAAACCCGTAATGGTTTAGTAAAGAATAATGGTATTTAAATTATTGTCAGTCTTACTGTGATGATCGACATACTGTTTGAAGAAGAGAGGATTGACTTAATGGAATGACTTCTCCGCTCATCGGACATAATCCCATAAAGCATGTAAAGGATGCTATTTGGAGACATGTCATCTCGAAAAGAGACCTTTCACAAGAATAGTCATGGATAACTCTGGACTTTATCAACACTAACTTTAAGCATGCGGCGTATTCTGCGTAGATGCCAGACTTTCCTTGTGTTTTGGTGATTTTGGATCGTATGTGAAATGTCTTGAACAGTAAAGATGCTAGAGTCACCTCTATGAAATGTCCATTCACAACTGTAAGCTGAATGACCAATTATTTATCTTTCAAATCACGTGACGATTCATCAGATGCTTGTTTTGAAGTCGGAGGAATTACTGGTATTATTCTCAAGTAGTGGTTTTTGCCTTATCAAAGCTAAGAAATTATAGCTTCTAACTAACCCTTAATTTCTATCTTATTGTAGTGTTACTCTGTTTAATGTAAACTAAACATTTTTTATTATGAATTTCTTTTCTTCACCAAAATGTATATATAACATATAACATAATATTTTGAGACAACATGGGACCTATTGGTCCATCTCGACTATTCGATTCTCTAAATTGAACAAAACTATTGATAAATATATTTAAAAAAGAAAAAATCTTAAAGCTAGCCCTTATCATCCATATATTTATCAAGCTTTCTCTTAAACTCACCTAAATTTATTGCCTTTACAACATCCGAAGGCAACCCATTCCAAAGGCCAACCACCCTGTTGTAAAAATAAAACTGTCTTAGCTAAAGATGACTCCTACCCTGCCAAAATTTATACTTGCGTCCCCTAGTCCTGCTATTCTCACTGTTAAATATAAAAAAGATGATTCATTAACATCGTCAATTCCCTTTACAATCTCAAACACCTCAATCCCATCCCACCTTGCTTATCTTTTTTTCAAAATAAAACAATTTGGGAGATTTCAACTTCTCGTATGCCAACCCCTCCATCCCAGGTACCATTGTAGTAACCCTTTCCAACAATTCAGTATA